CCAGAATGCGAATCCGGGAGGTGCTCGGCATGGACGTGAGCTCCGGAAGAGCTGCAAGCACCTTGCTGGGGCTGCGGGACACGCAATCCTGCAGCAGCAGCTCCGAAATCCCCTCCAAACGTGCAGCAGGAAGCCCCGAGGAAGCCGCTACGGTCGCTCCCAGGGCTCTGGAGCTCAACGCAGGGGGAGCAGGGCTGCCAGCACGAAGCAGAGCGCGGCGCGCGGCTGCTGCGCGGCGCCCAGGCTGCCAAACACGCCATACATGTGTGTGTATACCTATATACGGACACACACACATATGTACGGTGTGCACATGGATTAGCCTTCCGAGTTCAAAGCTTTATATCAAATAATTTTATTTGATAAAAATTATTTGATTACTTTTGGTCATTTTTTCAGTGTCCAATCAGTTAGGTATTAACAGAACCAAAATATGAGATACACCTAAGCAACAAACACATACCAAAAACCACCTCAAAAGGCCATGCGTTGCTACAGCCATAAACACCTCTGCAGCTGAGTGTCTCAAACACTAAGGGGCCATCTCTGTTCCCTCTTTCAGGCCTTCATCTCCTTTCTTAGCACAAATGCAACAGGTTTGCAAGAGGACAAAATCAAGCTCACTTTCCTCCACCTCCGTGCACAGAAACGCATGGATACACATTAGTTTTCTCTTTGGATGCACCTAGCAACACCAGCTGCTGCTCGCACAGAAAGGGGTTTTGCAAAGAGCACGGAGAAATGCATTTGCTGGAGGTGTTTGCTGGAGGTGTCTGCTCTCCCTGCCCTCTCCCTGCGCCGTTTCCAACGGGAAGCCTCTCTCCTGCCGCGGAACCGCCGTCCCCGCCTCGGCCCTGCCCAGCAAACCCAGCAAGGGCCGCAGCCAGCTCCCGGCGCTCGCGGTGCTCCCGGCGCTCACGGTGCTCCTGGCACTCGCTCCACATGGTGCTCCCGGTGCTCACTCCGCACGGTGCTCCTGGCACTTGTGGTGCTCCCAGCACTCGCTCCACACGGTGCTCCCGGCACTTCTGGCACTCACTCCGTATGGTGTTCCTGGCGCTTGCTCCGCGCGGTGCTCCCAGCACTCACTCCATGTGGCACTCCCAGGACTCGCTCCACACAGTGCTCCCGTTGCTCACTCCGCGTGGTGCTCCTGGTACTCGCGGTGCGCCTGGTGCTCGCTGTGCGTGGCGCTTGCAGTGCTCCTGGCGCTCGCTCCACGCGGTGCTACCGGTGCTCCCAGTGCTTGCTCCACGCAGTGCTGCTGGTGCTCCTGGTGCTCACTCCGTGTGGCACTTGGGGTGCTCCCGGCACTCGTAGTGCTCCCAATGCTCCCAGCTTTCTCCGTATGGTGCTCGCGGTGCTCCCAGCTCGCTCCGCGCAGCGCTCCCGGTGCTCCCGGCACGCTCGGGCAGCGAGGCCGCCTGCACCCGCTCCTCCATGCTCACCGCACACACGCTGCTGACCTGC